TTTAAACTCAAGAATAGATTTAGATTGGATCTTGCGAAGAAATTCTTCAGTTCGAGGGTGCCAAGACTCTGGAATAAATTGCCCAGAGAAGCTGTGGCTGCCCCCTCCCTTGAGGGGTTCAAGGCCAAGGTGGGTGGGGGCTTGGGCTGGTCTAGTTGAGAGGCGTCCCTGGCCATGGCACGGGGGTTGGATTAGATGATCTCTAAGGCCCCTTCCAACCTAAGACAGTCTATGATGCTACTTATATTTCACTAAACCCCTAACATCTTTTAAAATGCTGCTCTATAACATTTTATTGCATTTAAATAAGTGAATGGTCCAGTATACCAAAGAGTCAGTCATAGTTTTGAGTTACTTTATGTATGTATTCAGAATATTCACTAAATTAAGTCAAATTAATAATATTGGTTAGATTTTAAACACATCACAGAGGACGTGACAAGACCAGCACTGTGGTTAAAGTGTTCGGTCTTTTTCCTCCTAAACTGTAGGGCTTTATCTTTCTATTGGTTTTATTTAATGCATCATGAATTATTTCTAAATAATGATTATTTCTAAATAATCAGTAATTATTACTACCGTTTCCTGTAGGTTTTGCATTTAACAGACTGAATAAATCTAGGATTTTCTTGTAGCTACCCCAAAAAGGTTGCAATTGATGAACTAAATGATGGCATTTGTTTTAATGCAACCTAAAACTGAAAGAGACTATTCCTGGAGATTCACTTCAAAACAAAAATCATCACTTTCTAATTAAACAACCATACACAAAGTTTGATCAGAAGCAGTTAGCTCAACACCTGGTACCAGTGTTCCCTGAGACCTAAAGTGAGCTTCCGTCAACGTTGCGTCATCTGCAAGGAGAATAATTTCCTTCTCAACGGAAAACATCTTCATCAAGTCACTCAATTAATTAAAAATATTGGAACTTAAAAAAAATTAAATTCCCTCAATCTATTCTTTTAGAGCCTTAAAAAGTCTTATGAAACATTAAAGGGGTGCAACGCTTAGGAAAAATTATTTGCAGATAACGCTACCTTTGTTAAAGCCATTTTTGGCTTCAAAACTTTTTTTTCCTTCCACATATTTAAAGAAGGTCCTCTTGCAAAACAAAAAGGTGTAACACTAATTGAATCCAATTAGAACATGACAATAAACTCTTGCGCAAGAACTGTGGATGCAGATTTTCATGAAAACCTATAATCTGGACAAATGTATGCTCATCTATAGAACTACTTAAATGCAGAGAGAGCGCATACTTGGTTAGCAAAATGCAGTGCTTAATTTAACATAAAGGTTGATTTGCAGTTGAAAGAATCTTAATAATTACTAAATCAAACTGAATTAGCCCCTTCTCTGGAAAGGAATTAAAGGAAAAGAATACCAGGCAAGATTAAAAACAAGTCAGAACGCATGCCGCTAGCTTGTGTCAATCCATCTAGGCGCAGCTTAAAATCTCAACGTACTAGCAACTTGACTTAAATTTTCAACAGAGAGAAAACAACCGTCTCCATTTTTCAAAGGTGATTAAACGCACAAGTTACTCTGCAGACAGCCATACATGCCTCAGCACATTTGAACTCCACAAGTGTTAGAAACAAACTTACAGACTTCTTCAAGGTTTGTGTTTCACATTTGCTTTTGGTTATTCAAATAATGTGCATTACACCTACATCAGTTCACAATAAGTTTATTTTATGTGAAGAAAAGCTTTGCCATTAATGAAAAATTTCAGTAGAAAACAGTACCTCCTGCTTTCAATCTAGATTACTCAAAAGTAGAAGCTTGTATTAGTGAAAACTTCAGTAGAAACAAATCTGTAGGAAACATGTTCTTGGCACATGAAGTAAAAGCTTTGAACACATTACGTTTGAATAGCGTATTTACCATGCAACCATGCTGGCCGAAAAGCCAGTTTGTAATGGCTGGTCTTTGTCCCTCAAGACAACCAACATGGAAGACACTTAAACCTGCTTACAGAACGTTAATTGTATATAAATATGGTGTTGCCATAATTGACAGTCTTTATTCAGGCCTACCATTTAGTTTAGCAGTTCTAAATAAGTAATAGGCACTTTGCCTTTCTGATTTCCCCTTTCACCCATCAGCCAGTCTGAATCCATGCCGGGGATACTGTACACTGTTATCACCTGCAAAACAGAAACACATTGTCATAACCCCTCCTTGCCTGGAAAAAACCCAACAGTCTGCTGTCATGTGATTTTGACGGTCTTAGAACTGAGACTAACCAAGTTAAATACAGCATTTATGCTTAAAGCATCCATGAAACATAACCTAGTGCTCATAAGAATTACTCGAGTGGTCCATGGGAAAAAAGTAGGTATAGTAGCATATTTTGAAGTCCCCTTTTTCTGATGAAATTCTATTCATTGTTGTTTCTTTCCAATTATTTTTTATCTGTAATATCTGTATATCGCCATCAACGTTAACAGGCAACATAAAACAAATTAATTAGACCTTTAAGTGCATGACAGAAAGACAGATGGTGTCAATGTGCTATCTTAACAGAAATAGGCCACAGTAACTGCCTAAATAAGAAAACCGTCAAACAAATATTTAAGTAATGCACATTTGAAAAAAACAAACAACCACAACAAAACCCACAAGAAGTTTGAAAACTTTTTTGCGAAAGCTCTTCTTCAGGGTTAAGCCACAGTCACATGACCAGGTGGAAGTCTGTCCCAGCACCCTGCTTCATTGTGTATCTCTGCCTGCTTTGCGTACACTCTCTGACTTAGAGCATAATTGGATTGGAACGGGACCAAATGCAACAAAACCACCACCAGCAAAACAAGAAGTAGTTGTATTTTCAGATTCTTCCAAAATGACAATATTTAATGTTTGAAAGACTAATTGTATTGATAACTCTGCTAAAGGTGTGGTAAAAAGCAGCCAGCAGAATTGCATCTTGACTGTCTAGCAAAAGTTCTTGCAAGTTAAGAGAGTGTAACAGATGTTAATCCTCACCATAGAATATTAGAGTACATAGGTACAGGACAACACTGTAAGAGTAGTATTGAATATTACTTTAAAAAAAAAAAATCAACTACACAGATTTCCTGATGTAGCACATCTTATCTGGCTCCTCACAAGCATTCCAATTTTACTTTTAAACGATCAAGACACACAGAAAACTCTTACCTCATCTGCAAGTAGCGATAATTCACTGCTGTTTGCAGCATCGTAATCGTAGAGAACTCGAGCTTTCCTGCTGCCACTTGATGACTTCAGTTCACTGATGCCTGAAGTAACTATGGAATTGCTTACTGAAGGCAACGAGGCGGAGGCTGAGGCCAAGACTGAGGGAGTAGAAAAACTCTGCACAGGAGCTGAGGAAGACTGATTGTTGTTAGAGAGGAAAGTGGATGGAAAGCTGTGTGGGAAAACAAAATGAAAAGACTTCTGAGTGAATCAGTTCTACATGGGGAGTTATACATGCCTCCATGTCTAAATAAGCGTTCTTGCTTTAAACAGAATTTAAAAAGCTGCAGAATAAACACCAGCAGACAGCAGTAATAGAATAGCGCTGATATTTGTACAAACCTAAATAAAGATGCTTATTCCTGACCTGTAGTATAAATCAAAGCAACACACTTTGGATGAAATACTGCCACCTTAAAAAATACTTGGTAATAGCCTCAAAAAATCCCCAAACCAATCCCACAATGCAAATCCAAGAAAACATTGTTGGTCTGACTTAATTCAGCCTGTATTTTAATAAACATTTCTTTTTAGACAGCTCTGCCAGTACAAGTAGCCTCCACCTCCTCCTGCATACACCTCAGTTATGTGGCTACACCGAAGACTGGTGGTGAAGTATAATGCAGGTTAAAAACAGAAAGTCCCTCTGAAACAAGAGGAAAAACCACAACTATTTTTGTAACCTAAATCATTTTGTTCATTCAGCTAACTGTATGCTGTAAACCAAGGTTAGCTTCTATAAACTTAAGCCCCTCCTTTCCAGGTCAGGCTGTTGCTTATTCTGTGCCAGCTGCAGTGCTTGCCAGACCCTTCCATGAAGTGGATGCAACTCATGAGCTTTTTAAACATGTTCACCTTGCATGCAATTGTTATATCTGACTGAAGGGAAACGGCAGGAGTACGTTGTGAAGGACAGAACTAGCCCCTTCACAGTTACAACTGGATATAAAAACCGGGCAGACTTCCAGGAGGCTGTGATGAGTCCAGTTAGCAGTTTAATACTGTCAAACGGAGGAAGGCCCACTTCCTTCTCTGGCTTACTTTGACCTTTGATCATAAGGAGCTGGTTCAACTCACCAAGAAGAGACTGAAACTCCACAAAAATTATTTTTTTTTCATTTTCCAGATTAGCTTTTCAAACCAGTTCATCATGTTCCCACAGATAATCGTATGAGCAGAACAAAGGTAGGAAAAGGTAGATGCTGCATTTTTCAGAGGGACAACTTATCTGCCTAATGATGTATTTATTACTTGATTCGTTGGCATTCAGAGGGATTTAATTTTAAATGACAAGTAGCTGTTTATCAATATTGCTAAATTACCATTTACTATGCTGCTAAACCCGTTCTCTGTTAACACAGCAATTACTTGTAAATCACTCTGCTCAGTTCAAAGGGTCTCTGGTTTGTACAGCTAGTTGAAAAGAAAGCCAAAGCTCTATAACCACTCTGTCCATCAGCAAAGCATTAAGTCTCACTCTTCTTGCAAAGCCATATGTAGGCACGTTACTGGAAAGCTTCAGCTATACAGAGGTTGGCTGGGATTTTTTTGAACATTTAAGTAGCAGGAGTCTCACAGCTTGTAGAGACGGAGACTAGTAATGGATAATTTGAAAAAATAATGATGCCAAAGCTTAGACTTGGCTGTCAGGGAAGCTGAGAAAATTCAAAGCAAAAGCAGTTATCAGTAAGAAAAAAAAATTTTAAGAAAAGGCAGCCATAATACCAAGATATTTGAAATAGATTTGTTCAGTTTGTTCTGAGGATATAAAAAATGGAGATTGCTTTTAACCTGGGAGGTTTGATTCCTTAAGTAGCCTCACAGGAGAGGGAGGCAGCAGAGGGATAAGCAGCTGGTGCTGCCTTGAAGAGAAGCACCCATAAAACCACGCCTATTGACACAGGGAGAACTGGGCACAAGTTTTGCCCCCACCTTC